CTTCTAGTTTTTGTGATGATCAGTATGGCTAAGGAGGGATATGATGACGTTCGTCGCTATAAATTGGATCAAGTTGAGAATAATAATCGAACATTGGTTTTAACCGCATACACACCTCAAGATTTCAATGAGAAATCTCATATCGGATCTAGAGGTCCGCGGTCAAAGAGGGTCAAGAAGGGCTTGGGTATTCCAGAAACGGTGTACGAGATCGACATTGAAGCGACTACTTCTGGACCAAGACATTGGGCAACGTTGAAGTGGAAAAATCTCAAAGTCGGGGATATTATAAAACTTGAACGGGATGAAGCGGTACCTGCAGATATTCTCCTTTTACATGCAGATGGACCTAATAATATCGCTTTTATCGAAACCATGGCATTGGATGGTGAGACAAATTTGAAGACGAAATCACCTCCGGTTCCTTTGGTGAAGAAATGCTCAACTGTGGAGAAGTTGGTTGATTGTCGAGCTCACGTTGTGATTGAAGATCCTAATCTGGATTTGTACAATTTTGATGGAAGAGTTACGATTGATGGCGAGACCTTACCACTCACAACCAATGAGATTGTGTTCCGAGGGAGCATCTTGAGGAACACACCTAATGCCATTGGTATGATCCTCAACACGGGCGAAGAGTGCAAAATCAGAATGAACGCCAATAAAAATCCTCGAACGAAAGCACCTGAGATGCAAAAGATTGCAAATAATATTGTCATTATTCTTGTTGTATTCGTCATTATCCTTGCTTTGTTTTGTACCATCGCATATCAAATATGGACTGATAATGTCGAGAATAATTCTTGGTATTTGACAGGAGCGCATTTCAAATTCAGCTACTCGATTGTTGCATTTATTATCCTCTTCAATACATTGATTCCACTCTCGCTATATGTTAGTTTGGAGATTATCAAGGTCGGACAATTACTTCTCATGCATGATATTGAGATGTATGATCCCGTTTCGAATACTCCAATGATTTCAAATACGTCAACGATTCTCGAGAATTTGGGTCAAATCAGTTATGTGTTTTCCGATAAGACGGGTACATTGACAGATAATGTTATGCGTTTTCGAAAACTCAGTGTTGCCGGATATGCTTGGCTTCATGACTTTGATTTAGTTCGAGAAGCAGCTGAACTGGAGTTGGTTGCGAGTGAGGAAGATAAAGTGAAGTCAAAAAACAAAGGCAAAGGAGTTTCCAAGCACTTCTCGAAGAAACGAAGTCATCAGTCTCAAGCAGAGGATGATAGATTGAATAGCTCAACCACCGATATTCCTAGGAGATCAGGATCTATCTGGAGATCATCAGCACAACCGAATCGCATTCAACCTGAATTTCGAACCGAAGAAATGATTCGATACATGCAAAGTAAACCTCATGGTATATTTACTAAGAAGGCTAAATTCTTCCTCTTATCCATTGCACTTTGTCATACATGTCTTCCGGAAGTTCGAGAAAATGGGCATATTGAATTTCAGGCTGCATCTCCAGATGAATTGGCTTTGGTACAAGCAGCTCAAGAACTTGGATATTTGGTTATAGATAGACCTGCTCGTTCTATTACTTTGACCATCCCGAGTGAATCCGAGGATATTACGGAAACTTATCAAGTTCTTGATGTGATTGAATTTTCGAGTAAGCGAAAGCGAATGTCGATTATTGTTCGTTTTCCTAATGGAAGAATTTGCATCTTTTGTAAAGGTGCAGATTCTTCTATTCTTCCACGTTTAAAGCTCGCACCATTAGCTATGCAGAAAGCATCAGAGGTTCAGAGAAGATCAAGTGTAAGAAAGAGTTTAGAAGCCGAAGAAGCACTACGAAGAATGAGCGAAAGCAGTCCTAGGACGAGTTATAGTCGACCTAGTATAAATCTTCCACGATCAAGCCTGAGTCGAAGTCGAAAAAGTATAGGGGGTGGAAGACCAAGTATGGCCAGTACTCGATTACAACCTATACGAGATGAGCTTGATACATGGTTGAGGGAAAGAGAGAATGATGTTGAATTACCGGATTTAGATGGATCGGCTGATGCTTATAGAACTCTGAGAACTTCAATGGCTTTGGGTCGATCTTCTTTCGCTTCATCGGATGTTAGAACTTCTATGCAAACTGAACATTTTGATGAGTTTGTTGATGAAGCATTGGTTTTGGATGATGCTGCTGTTTTTGAACGTTGTTTTCAACATATTGATGATTTTGCTGGTGAGGGACTTCGAACTCTTTTATTTGGCTATCGATTCTTGGAAGAACAGGAGTATACTGGATGGAAGAAGATATACTTGGATGCCACAACGAGTCTAGTCGATCGTCAAAATATGATTGAGAATGCAGGAGAGATGATAGAACAAGATTTTGATCTTGCGGGAGCTACCGCCATTGAAGATAAACTTCAAAAAGGTGTTCCGGAAACGGTAGATAAATTGAGGAGAGCAAATATTAAGATTTGGATGCTCACGGGTGATAAACGAGAGACGGCTATTAATATTGCACATTCTGCGAGGATCGCCAAACATTATTCGGAAGTCGTTATCTTGGATCGAACTACTGGTGAAGTTGAGCAACGAATGGCTACCACATTGGTTGATATCAATAATGGAAATGTAGCTCACTCAGTTATCGTCGTGGACGGACAAACTCTTTCGGATATCGATGCGAATCATACACTTTCCCTCTTATTCTTTGATCTCGTCGTCCAAGCCGATTCAGTCATTTGTTGTCGAGCAAGCCCCAGTCAAAAAGCCTCGTTGGTAAAGAAAATTCGGACCAGAGTCAATAAATCTATTACCCTAGCCATCGGCGACGGCGCAAATGATATCGCCATGATTCAAGAAGCTCATGTGGGAATCGGTATCAGTGGTAAGGAGGGTCTTCAAGCAGCTCGTATATCCGATTACTCTATTGCTCAATTTCGATTTCTTCAACGTCTCTTGTTCGTTCATGGGCATTGGAATTATGTGCGCACGGGAAAATATATCCTGGCCACTTTCTGGAAAGAATTCCTGTTCTACATGATTCAAGCTATCTATCAAAAATGGAATGGATATTCTGGAACTTCACTCTTCGAATCTGCTTCTCTAACCGTGTTCAATACGCTCTTCACATCACTATGTGTTATCTTTCTCGGTGTATTCGATAAAGATCTTTCGGCTACAACGCTTCTTGCTGTTCCGGAATTATACACGTATGGGCAACGTGATGAAGCCTTTAATTTGAAGAAATACTTTGGTTGGACTTTTATGGCGGCGAGCGAAATGATTATCATTTTCTTTTTGGCGTATGGACTTTTTGGAGAATCAAGATTTACGGATGATAATACCTTGTATTCGTTGGGAAATTTGTGTTTTACGGCGGCGGTGATTATTATTGTTACGAAACTTCTGTGAGTATTTGAATACCCTCTCTCTTCTTTTTCTGTCTTCATTTTCATTTTCATTTGCAATTCCATTTCCAATTTCGTTTCCATTTTCAGTTCATCTCCATACCCCTTTCCATTCACCCACAATCCAATACTAACATTCCTCCTCCACAGTATCCTAGAAATGCACAGCAAAACCTACATCACAGCTATCGGTCTCATCCTCAGTATAGGCGGCTGGTTTTTTTGGAACCTCCTCCTTTCCGCCGTCTATTCTCCCGAATCACTCACTTACAATGTCCGCAATGGGTTCATCGATCACTATGGTCGCAATCCACTGTGGTGGTGTACATTGATTGCTATTTTGGCGGCGGTGACGGTGTTGGAAGTGGGAGTGAGTAGCATGAGGAAGACTTTTTGGGGGAATGATATTGAGGCGTGGCAGGAGTTGGAGAAGGATCCGGGGGTGTGGAGGAGGTTGGAGGGGGCGGTTAAGGGGGAGGATGGTGTGGATCTTGAGACTGGTGGGGATGGGAAGAGGAGTCAAGAAGAGCTGGAGGAGGGGGAAAGAGAGATTGCGGAATTACTTGAGAGGCCTAGGATTATGCATTCTGAAGGGCGAGTGGGGGAGCAAGAGAAAGAAAGAGAGAGACCCATGAGTAGTGGTACAGGGGTGGCGAAAATATCTAGGCATTTAAGAATGAGGAAGGGGAGCACAGCTGATGCCGGTGTTGGTGTTGGTTTTGCTGCGGGTGCAAGTATAGAGGATTATGATGATGAGATCGGACACGGACATGGACATGTTATCACGAGTCCTATAATCGCAACTGATATGACGGGGGGAAATGGTATTAAAGGAACCAAAAGGAGAGCTTTCAGTTTTAGTTTTCCAGGGATGAAAGGATGAAGGGTTGAAAGGATAAGGATGAACGAGAAATGTAAATATTATTACGAAAAGAGCCGAGATTAGATGAGAGGAGATGAGATGGATGTCCGATATGGGTTTTTGGTTTTTGGTCATGGGGCGGGTGGATTATTCATGTTCTGGTTCTGATTCTGGTTCTAGTTCTGGTTAGGCATTGAGTACTAGCATTAATTAGCATTAGCATTAGCGCTAGAAATAGGTAGGCTTTGATGTCTGTCGAATTCTATTTGTAGTTGTAGTTGTAGTTGTATCTGGATTGGATTGGATTGGATTGGATTGGATTGGATTGGATTGGATAGGATCGGTACCAATTGAGAAATTATTTTTCATGCGAAAAGTTACTTGCTACTATGTATGTGAAGTGAAGTTTTGGGGATGGAATGAGAGAGATAGTGAGAGAGATAGTGAGAGAGATAGTGAGAGTGAGGAGGAGGAGGAGGAGGAGGAAAGGAAGATGCTGGGAGCCGATTACTACCTACCTAGTTTAATGAGTTTTCTTTTTGTTTGCCTCTATTTTGTAGGAAAACAGCTGAGAGCAGGTCATTACTACTACCTAGTTTAATGAGATTTTTTTGGTTCTATTTTGTAAGAGGATAGATAGATAGTCTCCATCTCAATCTTTCTTGATGCGAAGGAAATTACACCAAGTCCGCATGAATTCATATGCCTAACCTTTCGCCCCCTAAGAACTTAGCGTTTATTCTTTCTATGGCCGATCAAACAATTGGAGATGGCCACGGAACTTTCTTCATCCTATCAAGTGCCTCCACCATAACTTCTCGCTTCACAGCAAATGTCAATCTCGCCCACCCATAAAATGTCAATCTCGCCCACCCATATTCGCCGTAAGAACATAAATACCCCCCTCCTGGTGATATCAAGACTCCTTCGTCCCGCAACTTTACCAAGACTGCCAACTCTTCTTGCGCATTCTGTGTGGTTATATATGTGAGTTAACGTACCTGATAAAAGGTCTTCAAAGAAGACAAGTATTGTTCCGTAGGGAAAGGCGGAGAGAGAAAAGGCTCGCTTCTACACGGGACTTCTTGTGAGAAGGGAAAATGAGAAATTCGGTTGTGTACCTTTGCATCTGCAGCTATCCTAACTAAGATCATGATTCCCGCTTTGACAGGAACATAATCTATATTCCAATCTTTCAAAGTAGATGTCAATAAGCCATATGAAACTCTTAGTTCTTCCTTGATAGTTTCTACGAGAGATGAAAGTTGCGGTGACGTAAGAATCGCGGTCATGCATAAGCTGCTTAGGGTTGAAACTTGCCAGACATTGGAATATGATATTCCATAGAGTAAAGGCCTATTCGCTTGTGAGAAGATACATCCCTAATTGTTGTAAGCCAGTTGTCTCAATCTCATTACCCCATGAAGTGTAGAAATTATCCGACTCACCACTCTCATACCAGCACAACCGAAATCTATACTGGGACTCCACGTAATTTGGACTCTACTCCGATCAATTCCCTTTCCTTCCTCTACCAAACTTAAAGCAGAGGTAAATAGCTTCTCGGGATCGGTATTGAAAGCCGAGAGAGCACCAATTTCGTCGGATATATATAAGGAATTTGTTTTTCATGACAGAAATTCATCGGTTTGTGAAGAGTTTCTGGGGAATAGGTATCATCTCCTGGGTTGTGAGGATTACACATTAAAAGAGCTTTGATACGGGACTGGGTGGGACAGGCGTTGTAGGCGGTGATTAGACGATCGACGAAGTCGGAATCTACTATGTTGCGGAAGTTTGGTGAAGGGATTGGAGAGTTATAAGATTAGTAGGGCGATTTCTCGGAGGCCAAATGTACGCAACAATTAAGTCGTAGAAGTAGATTTACAGTCAGTTGGAACACGGGCACTAACAAGCAACTGGAGCAAACGCCATTACGATGTCTCCCTCATCACAAATAGTGCACATCAGTGAATCAAGAACACTTGCGCAACCACTGCTCGTCGAGATATGGTCTTCTTCTACCTTTAATGAAGGGTTGAAATATGTATTGAAGAATGAAGCGAATTCCTTTCGCATTGCTGCTTCGCCGTCAAGACCTGTAGGGTAGAGGAAACTCTAAGACATATTAGTATGAATGTTGCTGAAAGAGTCTGTAGAAACTTTCGTACATCTTCACTCAGACTTTCATTCAAGGCATCTTTACATATGCTCAACGGCTGAGGTCTTAGTGAACGATGCTCGGCTTGCTCTAGACGTATTATATCTGGTGGTGCAACATATGATAGAAATACCAGTGGCGCCAATTGGGGAAGTTTGTTGACCATGTGAGTGGAGAGACCATGCTCTAGATACTCTAAAGTTGAAGTCATGATGTGTTGATAATATTTTGAATGAGAAGTATTCCCTACAAAAGGACGCGCGCACTTGCGATGCATTTATAGTTATATATAATATCCAACTGTTGGTTTTCTTTATCAAATGATAGTATATATACTTGTATATATGATCCAACCTTTAATCGTAAGCCAACATCTTACTTGCATGGACCTTTGCCAAAACATCCCACTATATTTGTAGGGAAACCAAAAGCGTATCAAGCTCATGGTGGTTTCGTCTACGTGTCTTGTGTTACTCGCCATCGAAGATGTATTATCCAAGTTTCTGGTCCCAAAACGAATGTGAGTTATTAATGAACGGCTCAACTTTCAACAGAAAATACTTTCTCTATATGGCTTCACTCCTTACACTTCCCGTTCAAAATCCTCCGTGAAATCTGCAATCAGATATCCATTAAGAGAGATCTTCAGCACTGGTTCTGATCCAGATAACTTTTTGAAGCACATTATAGTGCTCAGTGTCTGAAAGTCAAGAGCTCTGTGGCCGAGGATCCTGTGGCTAACCTGATCCGGGTACGTGGTTGGAAAGTTAGCAAAGGTTCGAAGACTAAGGATGTTCAGGACCCACAGTGAAGTATCTTTGGAAACAATACATTGCAGCTCAGAATAGACGATCAACACATTATTGCAAGACTGACTGCCGTCTTGTCAAACCATGACCCAAACTATCAAAGACCTTGTGCTTATGGTCCTAGTCAACCAACGAGCTTAATACTGTGGTGTGTTTAGACTCTCAACTATGAACGTAGGGATCTAAATATCCTTCCATCTTCAATACAACTATAGTCTTCATAATGACCACACTTGACAACTTGGGTTCTTGCTAAGGGAGTTCTTGACTTCAAGATCACGCTCCAAAGTGCAGATGTCTCAGGCCTAACATTGGGCCCCACCAGTTTGATCTTAATCAACATCGAGGTGTGAAGTTACGAGACGACTGAAAGATCTCAGACAGGGCATGTCTTCTGTGTAGTGTAGCTGAGGGTTTCTTGATTTCGGAGGTGTCTTCAAATTGCTCCTTTGCGTTGCAATTCGGCAAACCGACAAGTGGTTTGTGTTTGAGGAGATGCGGGGTTGATAAGCTCAATCTCGTTTCCTCCAAAGATGTTGGTGAAGTTACCACTTTATTAATCTCTCTCCAAATTCATGTGTACAGTACACTTATCTCTCAAATGCATAATATCCACGGAAACTGCTCCATTGTTGAAGATATAATATGATTTATTGGAGTAGGGAACTCAAGACTTTGGCCTGTGACTTCCCTTGTTGAATGCAGGAATGCGCTAAAAACAAGTGGCCTGGTGACGTCGGTAACCTTAAGTTAAGGCCAAGATTCTTAATTCACGTCGTTACTTTCCTTGCCTTGCCTTGAGATCTATCAACACCAACACCAACACCAACATCAACATCAAAGCAAAGTAAAGTAAAGCACAAACTCACTATATGAATGGCCATGATTTGATTCATACCTGAGCTCTGCACCAACGAACATGGCAGGTCCTTCAGAGATGAAGGCATTAAGTTTGTATTTTCTGACCTTTAATTGTGGTCTCTCTCTTATCGATACTGATGCGTTTGCCTCTCAACTCTTTAATGGCCTCTCGTCTCCTAACTTACCAGACCTCCTCGTTCTCTCCTTACAGGAAATTGCGCCAATACCATATTCTCTTATAGGCGGATCCTTTCTCGTACCATACTTCAATCGGTTTCACGATGCGGTCGGAAAAGCTTCAAAGAAATTATCGAACAATGGATCGACATATACTTCGATAGCAGCACGGAACGTTGGCTTGACGGGAATTATGATATTTGCAAAGGATCCAGCACTTGTACAAGACCTAGAGGCTGGTGAAATTGGAGTAGGAGCTTGGTCAATGGGAAATAAAGGAGCAGTTGGAATAAGATTTACATATGGAAGTGGAAATACTTCAACAGAGTTAACGTTCGTTGCGGCACATCTTGCTGCTATGGAAGAAGAACTACAGAGACGAAACCAAGACTGGAAAGATATTGTCCGCGGATTGGTATTTTCTTCGACAACCTCAAATCATTCCACAACTTTACCTCGAGGCGATGAAGATAGACCATTGTTATCCATTTCACCACAAGATGGTTCGATCTTCAAAGCAACATCTCATCTATTTTTTGGCGGCGACTTAAATTATCGAACCTCCTTGCTTTCCCCAGCGCCAAATGATCACATCAACACATTCCCGCAGCCGGACGATGCTAGTTCCTCTTCCAATCATTATACAACCCTATTCAAAAACGATCAACTCAACCGAGAAAGATTGGCTGGTCGAACTTGTCATGGACTTATCGAAGCTCCAATATCATTCCCACCTACATATAAATACAATTCCGAAGGGCCATTCATGACATCTGATGACGAATTGAACAAATGGCCATGGGCAAAGCATAGATGGCCAAGTTGGTGTGATAGGATCCTTTATCTTGATATGCCACATTGGGTACAAAAGAGCAATTCAGAAGCCAAAATAATTCCAAACAAATATTCCGCATTACCTCTTCTTCCAACGTCGGATCATAGAGCTGTAGCTTTAGATGTAACGATTCCGTTGTTACCTATTCCAGAACCTGAAGAGGAGGAGGGTGTGGATGACCCTCGGGTCAAAATGCCATTTGATATCGATATCGATTGGAAGAAGAAGAGGGAGAGAGCTAGAATGCTGGAACTGGTTGTGGGGTATACAATGTACTTTACAGGTACAAAGGAGGGAGGTGCTCTATTCGTTGCAATGGTTGTTGGTGGAGTGGGGGCTATATTTGTTTTTAAATCGTTATTTGCTGCTTGAAGATCAAGCTCTATGGGGATACGATTTTTGAGGCAGAGGCATTTTTGGGCATATCAAACACATAGGCTTCGGTCATCTACAATGATGGTAAGTAATTATAAATATTTATAAGATTAAACCACTTGAGATCTTCCTCGCAAAATTTGCTTTCACGCATTCCTTCTCAGTCTCATTTGCAGATACCACGTCTAGTTTACCAATCGGATTCTTGGAAGGCACTGCAAGCAAATTTCCAAAAACTTGCTACTAAAGCATGAGCTCCATTCAGATTGCTCCAGTGAGCCTTTTTGACCCGTTCTCGATGCCGCAAGCAATAGGCCGGAGATGAAGTGGTTATAATCCCTCAATCCCCTCTTTCTCATCTATTTTAAATTTAATAACCTTAATTCTATTCATCTTGACACCCCATTAATAAAATGACAAACGAAAACCAATTCTAATTCCAAACACTGTTTCGAGCATATCTATATTCCGTGGGTTAAAGTCTGATGTTGCTTGGCTGCTAAGGAGCGACGCAGAGATTCGGACCGAGTGGTTCTGTCTTGTTAAGACGTAAGTCTGACCTAGTCGCTCAGGGATTGCGATGCTTAGCTGTCACAACTTATATTGACTCGCAGGTAGTTCTCATCGTCTGCTGTCACATATCGGACGAGGGAGATATAATATAATATATACTAATGTGATTCCATTCTCATGTAGCTGTCAATTGTTGTCATTCGATTGGCTTTTCATGGGAAGCCAAATATCGCCGTTGGACCAGAGGGGATTCGGTCACAGATGATATCAATAAATTTCTCATTTCACATCTTTATATATCACTAGATGAGCACTTCCACTATATGAGAAGAACTAATTAATGTGCGACGTGGAGTATGACTGATCCCCAATTTACTAGTTTACGTATCTTGCTAGCGTCGAATCTCCGAAGGCATTGAAAGCACCTAATGATTCGACACTGGCAATATTAACCCTGGTCGATGACTTGCCAGTAGATCAATTCAACACTGCACTTAGAAGCTGTCTTGCGCGTTAACTTGGTTTGAGATCACACTGCATAGAACTATTGACGTTGATGCCCAGATATTGTTTAGACAAATAAGGGTCTCTGCTACCGAAAATGACTACCAACGAGACGGAAAACCCACACAGACTTCTCCACGGACGCGGCGTGCAACAGTGGTGCTCCATTATCGCTTGAAGCGCATTGCCCACTATAGTCAAATGCCCGATCCCGGATATTTCGTCCGATGTTGGCTTTAGTTTTTGGCACGAGAGTCACGAGATGGAGAATGAATTCGTCTACGCGGACGCTAGCTTGGGCCAACGCCCTCTGGTGGGGGTTAATTCCTGAATGCGGAAGAAGCAAATTCTTTTCTCGTTGTTGAAATCTTATCTGATTGATCTAATGATCATGTTTGAGATAATAGTTGACACCCAATCAAGTATTACCCTCTTTCCAATTCTCATGGTACCTTGTTATCTGATCAATCTGATTATGTACATAGGTGAGCTCGAGGCGTAATTACTTACTCAGTCCTGACAGCACCCCACTCGCACTCGCTTGTCTTTTCTCTAAAATAGTCAAGTGTGAATGCATCCCATGTGAACGATCCGTTCTACGAAAAGTTTGCACTCCACATAACTTCCGAAATTCCGCTTTCAGAATTTCGGCGATGACAATGTGGTGTCAGTCATGGTATATACGATGGCTTACAATATTATAGTAATCACCTCATACATATATCAAATGAGTGAGAGCTTTATCTTCCTGGTCATGAATCATGATGAAGATGTCGATCAGATTAGATAAATATTGAAAAGCTTAAAGTTTTGATCTAAGTTAGTCAATCTGATTAGATTATCATAATGGTCACCACTACTTGGTACCACGGTACCGAAATCGAGACGGGCTTCCATATCCAACACACATTCCGATTTCACCCATGGAAGTAGTGGTGGCGAGCGGTCATGTAACGCCATTCATACAATTGCTGCCTACTTGAGGAAAGGCCGGTCTTAGTTTCAATAAGTAGGTGAGTAGGTGAGTCCGGAATTTTACATCCTACCATTCATTTCATCCTTGGCTATCGATGAAAATTTTGATCAGATTAGATAAAAGCTAGCTCAATTATCCCCACTCGATCCCACTTGACCCCACCTACATGCCTTTAACCAACTAATCAACTGTCTCGGGTAATACTTAACACAATCGACCCATTCAAATTTAAGCCCACCTTGTCCATGGACCCATCAACATTCGGTAAAATGTCCACTCTTAGAAAAGAGGTGTGTTTGAAAACGTTTTCTGATTGATTGATGTGCGTGGAATACGCAGCTCTAAGCTCATTCAACCTGCTTCTTACCTGCCTGCCTTACCTTGTAAGTTGTGTGTATCATTTCATGAATCTTCCTGTTACTCGCGTCCTAATCCACGCCGAACCTCGTTGATAATCACTACGTTGAGGGACTTTATGGGATGCTTCTTGGCAGCTCCAAGCACGCGGCAGCATGCGAAATTTCGAACCTTGTCCTAGCTGCAGCTGCTATAGATGAATGGGCATACGTGTGGGTGTGAATAGCCGTGTCAACAGGTAGGCCGAGATTTCAAGTATTAGTAGTGGCCTTCTGCCACGATACACCCATTGCTCTGTATTACTTATACCATTCCAATTCTTTAGTCGACGTCCTTCCATTGATTTCCAAAATATTTGCGGAATCGACAAACCGCAATCATGGGGGCATTATCAAAATTCAGACCTGGATTTCGTCGAAAGGCTACCGAGGATATAATTAATGAAAGTTCAGAGGTAGCTATGGCTGATATGCCATCTTCAAACGAAAAGGATGCTGCGAAGCCCGCAGTTACTGGTGCCGATGATACTATCTCTTCAAGCAATGCCAATGATGTACCAATCTCAGAAGAAGCCGAAAAAGATGTTTTACCAACCGCAACTGCACAACGTGGTGTTCAAGAAGTCGAGGCAGTGGCTTTAACATGGACCAAATCAATGCTCATTGCCGTTTTCTTAAAGTATGTGCACGCACTTATTATTCCCATTCCCAGATGTAGAAGCTAAACTATTCAATGACAGCATGTGGTTGCTTTACTTTGTTAATGCCATGCAATCTTCAATTTGTTACAACCTCATTCCATTCGCCACGAGTGCTTTCGAATCGCATTCGTTGATCACCGTTATTAACATCGTTGCGAACGCTATGACAGCTGCCATTTACATTCCACTTGCGAAGATGTTGGATCTTTGGGGTCGTGCTGAAGGATTCCTTCTCATGGTTTTATTCTCTACCATCGGATTGATCATGATGGCGGCTTGCAATAATATTGCTACCTTCTGTGCTGCACAGGTATAACTTCACCATGCCATATTTTGTACCTTCAGTACACTAATACACGTTCTCTAGGTCTTTTACTCCATTGGATTCGGTGGTTTGATCTACAGTGTTGATGTCATTACTGCTGATGTTTCAAAATTAAAGAATCGAGGTCTTGCATACGCCTTCACTTCTTCACCATATATCATTACAGCATTTGCTGGACCAAAGGTCTCTGATGATTACTACTATAACATCAGCTGGAGATGGGGATTTGGTACCTTTGCTATTATCTTGCCATTTGTAGCCGCACCATTATACTTTATTTTGAAGACAAATCTCAAAAAGGCAAAGAACACAGGTGTTTTGGTTAGAGAGAGCAGTGGCCGAACTCTTACAGAAAACATCTGGCATTACTTTGTGGAGTTTGATGGTAAGTCATGCCTTTCCGACGTAGATGTACATATGGAATTTTTCTGACCATTGACTAGCTTTTGGTGTTGTTCTCTTTGCCGGAGGTTTCACCGTATTTCTTCTGCCATTTACACTCGCCGACACTGCACCAAATGGTTGGAAAACGGATTATATCATTGCTATGATTGTTGTTGGATTTGTGGTCCTTGTTATCTTTGCGCTTTACGAAAGCTACTTTGCCAGGACGCCTTTCTTGGACGTTAACCTTTTAGCAAACCGAACTGTTATTGGCGCTTGTCTGCTTGATTTGACTTATCAAATCTCTTACTACTGCTGGAACAGTTACTTCACATCTTTCCTACAAGTTGTCAACAATTTGACTTTAGCAGAGGCTGGTTATGTGAGCGACACTTTTGATGTTATCTCTGGTATCCTCCTTCTCGGAGTCGGTGTGTTGATTCGCAAGACCGGATACTTCAAGTGGCTTTTGTACATTGCGGTTCCACTTTACGTCTTCGCTCAAGGTCTCATGATTTACTTCCGTCAACCCAACCAAAGCATCGGTTACATCGTCATGTGTCAAATTTTCATCTCTATCGGTGGAAGTGTTTTCATCATTGTCGAACAACTCGCTGTTCTCGCCGCTTCTGACCATCAACATGTCGCTGCCATTCTCGCGTTGCTTTATGTGGTTGGAAATATCGGTGGTGCCATTGGAAACGCCATTTGTGGTGCTATCTGGACCAACACATTCCCACAAGCTTTGGAGAGATATCTTCCCGAATCGGCCATGGCAGATTTTGATAACATTTATGGTGACCTCTCCACTCAACTCACTTATCCATTGGGAAGTGAAACTAGAATCGCTATTCAACAAGCATATGGATATGCACAAGAGAAAATGCTCATTGCAGGAACTGCCATTATTGCCTTGGCATTCTTCTGGGTTATGATGATTAAGAATATCAATGTCGCCCAAAAGACACAAGTCAAGGGTACGGTATTCTAGGTATTCTAGGCACTCTCGGTATGGAAGATAGCTTGGATTTTCACAGACGTATATTATCAAATGCCATGTGGTAATTCACTAGATTTACCGCTTTTCTCTTGACCCTTGGCAGGTCCTCGTAATTAACATGTCATAATATCAAAAGTTTTGGATACCCTGCAAAGTATTTCCACCTTATCGTTCCTGGTGATCCTTGTTCGTGCAGGCCAATGTTCATTCGATATTGTACTTGGGTGGGAAAAATCACACACACTCTGTACATCATATCCAACATTTGCTGGTCCATGATTGTAAACGGGTTTGCTTCTTCTCCGGAATCCGAATCCAAGAAAATGGAGTTTTCTTGTTAGCTCGTCTTCTTCTGTTTATGGTATTTGTTGACGCCTCAAACTACCATTCTCAATTTCTCATCAACCCCGAATGTCACTGACAGTTATCCATCACGTCTCATAGCGGGGACCCTATACACCCACCCACACGAACCCTGGTAATCACGAATATTGATCAGATTTTAACCTCTTCATCAGTGCATCAGAAGCAAGCGAAGTCTAACCTTATCTAGCGTCATCTGATTAGATTAAATCACATGTAATCCATCCACCGTGATGATCTTATCTGATCCGCTTAAATAAGCAATTTCCGTCAATCCTTGATTTTTGAAGGGTTTTTTTTGGCTGGGAAGACCTATTTATTTACTAAGTACTATGGACGCGATCAAAGGAATTTTTATTCGGATTTCTGGAATTTCCTCGTGGAATACGAAATCAGATCCGATCTCGCAATATTATTTGAGCGTACTATGCGGCGCTGTTAGTGCTTTGAAATTAACTAATTAGAAGTCGAATAATATAGTTTATTAGTTTATACATCGTATCAATACATACATCATTCTTTTTATATACAAAATTCGTTTATGTATAATCATATACTTTTTCTATTTATAAAAAGAATTTTTTGAAAATTAGATATATAAATATTATGAATTTCTAATAATAAATTAAAAATTAAAAATTTGATTTATTATAATAGTTATTATAAAAAGAATTTTGCTATAATGAAATGTTACAACGGATTAGTAACAGGCTGTAGAATCACTAATTTATAGGTTATAATAATATTATAGGCCTCAGTGATTCAGCTGTAGTATACTAAAGAACATTAAGCACTCAAGAAACACCTTAGGTATGTATATAGTATTAATCATAAGATATCCTAAAAACCTAGAATATAGTTCTCAGAATAATAGATCCTAGAAAAAACAAAATATAATAAACAAAAAGATTTCACTAGAATTAATAATATCCTAGGGAATTAAATCTCAGAATAAAAGGATAAGCTAGGATAATAGGAATCATGGGATAAGTATTATATAATCAAAAGCCGATCGACTTATCGATCGATTTGCTAATTGACTGTTACGACGGCATCCAACATACCGCGTCACATGACATAAATTACACGTGATGGAGCGTCAAGGAGCTTCAGCGCTCCTGGAGCGCGTTGCGATCCTTAACGATCCAACATATAGGAGAGGTCCTAGGGACCAGGAGAGAGAACGAAGGTCTATATAAGGGAATGGGTTTCATTACAATGTAGAGCTTCGTGCTCAAGAACAATCATTAGTTTCATTACTATAGTTACGAGAATTGCAACCAGTTACCAACCTTATTGAATTCCTACTTGAAGTCTAGTCTAAACCACCTCGAGAGAACTCTAGACACTTCCACGTGACCCTAGAGGCAGCTCCCGTAACACTTTGAGCACCATTTCTGCTTCAAGTACCAATTCAATACCAACCGCCAGTATGGCAGCCAACAGTTCTTCCAGAAGCCAACAGGCTCCAGCAAGCAACTTCGATGATGTCGAAATGACTGATGCTCCCAAGGAGATCACCATCAACGAAACACTCAAGATTGCCTTACCAGACAAATACCAAGGAAGTCGACAGGAACTCGACACCTTCCTATTACAACTTGAAATCTATTTTAGATTCAACCAAGACAAGTTCACCGAAAAGGAATCTAAGAGTATTTGGGCCGTGTCATACCTCAGAGGCGAGGCAGGCAAATGGATTCAGCCATACCTGCGCGACTATTTCGAGCATGACGACAGGGAACGCATGCAACCCACAAGAACCATCTTCGACAGTTTCGAAGGATTTAAGACAGAGATTCGTAGAATCTTCGGAAATTCCAACGAGCTAGAGGTAGCGGAAGATAAGATCTTCAACCTCAAGCAAACAGGATCAGCATTAAAGTATGCTACGGAATTCCGAAGATATGCAGGAACAACCAAGTGGGATGAAACCGCCATTATGAGCCACTACCGTAGAGGACTCAAGCCAGAAGTCAAACTGGAGTTAGAAAGATCTGCCGAGAGTGTAGACTTGAACGACCTAATCCAGGACTCCATCGAATCAGATGATCGTCTTTACCGATATCGACAAAGTCAAAGATCATACAAACCCCAGGGAAATCAAAAGCAAGAGCGTTACCGCAAGAATGAGGGAAGACCACGTTACAATCCACAGAGATATGGAGACCCTATGGAACTCGACGCTACGCACCACAAAGGTGGGAATGATGATCCGGAAAAGAAACGAAGACGAGAAAACAACTTATGCTTTGAATGTGGAAAAGCAGGGCACCGGGCAGCGGATTGCCGAAGTAAGAAGACAGGAGGAAAGAAAGGCAACTTCAAACCCAAGTTCGGCAAAGGCCAACTTAACGCTACCTTTGTATCCCAGGAACATCCAGCTAAGACCGAAGAAACTGAGACCTTCACCAGTGAAGAATTCCGGAAATTATTGGACGAGTTACCGCGAAAACAAGAGGGTATGAATGCAGTAGACTTGTGGGAACAGGAGTACTACCGAACCCCATCACCATCGGTAACGGAAGAATGTATTAAGGAAGAGATACCAGCAGATCACGCGATGATGAGCTGGACTGCTTGCTATGATGAATTCTGCGGAATCCATCGATCAGATAAAGAAGCAACCGGATGGTTCCCCAAGAAAAGAAAGACAAGAAACCAACAATCCAACGAAACAGACAAAAAACAAGTTACCCAGCAATTGAATGCTACAGGACAAGCAGGACAGATATACTGCAAGGTCAAAATAAACGGACAAATACAGCAAGCCATGATAGATTCAGGGGCTACAGGAAACTTTATTGCACCAGAAGCTGCAAAGTACTTGGGAGTTCCACTCCAGAAGAAACAAAAACCCTACCAATTGCAGTTAGTTGACGGACAACTAGCAGGATCTGACGGGAACGTTTCACAGGAGACACGACCAGTACAAATGAACATAAACCAACATTCAGAGGTTATACAGCTTGATGTTGTGCCATTGGGCCAACAACAAATCATCCTAGGAATGCCATGGTTGAAGGCACACAATCCTAGGATAGATTGGTCACAAGAGACAGTGACCTTTGATCAGTGCAAATGCGGTCAAGGAGACACGCTAGAGGCGTCCGCGAGACGTAACACGCGCCAAGGGGAGTTGAACGCGAACAACTTCGGTGACGTAGGACACCCAGTCCAGGGTCCTCCATTAAGAGCGAAGGACAGTACACCTCCTCTACAAATGCAGAAGCCAACGACACGGCATGAAATCGCAATCAAGGCAAAGGAGCCTATGATACCCGAACAGTACAAAAAATATAAACATGTTTTTAGAGAACCAGGGATCCATGAGGCTTTACCAGAACACAAGCCATGGGATCATGAAATAATATTGGAGGAAGGCAAGATGCCTGTGCACACCCCAATTTATTCAATGTCAGCCGATGAGCTAAGGACGCTCAAAGAATATATCGACGACAATTTGGCCAAGGGATGGATCAGAGAATCCACGTCCCAAGTGGCAAGTCCAACTATGTGGGTACCCAAGAAAGATGGTACTAAGAGACTAGTTGTGGACTACAGAAAGCTCAACACGCTTACAAAGAAAGATCGATATCCACTTCCATTAGCTACGGAATTAAGAGATCGATTAGGCGGAGCAACAATATTTACCAAGATGGACCTACGAAACGGGTACCACTTGATTAGAATGAAGGAAGGCGAAGAATGGAAAACCGCTTTTAAAACAAGATACGGGCTATACGAATATCAAGTTATGCCATTCGGGCTAACGAACGCACCAGCTACTTTCATGAGACTTATGAACAATGTGCTGTCGCAATACTTGGACACCTGTTGTATATGCTACTTGGACGACATCCTAGTATACTCAAACAACGAGGTCCAACACATCAAAGATGTCAGCAACATTCTTGAAAGTTTAGCCAAAGCCGATTTGCTATGTAAACCAAGCAAATGTGAATTCCATGTTACGGAAACGGAGTTCCTAGGATTCACCGTATCAAGCCAAGGGCTCAAGATGAGCAAAGATAAGGTCAAGGCAGTGCTTGAATGGAAGCAGCCAAATACAGTTAAAGAATTACAGTCCTTTCTAGGATTTGTCAACTTTTACCGAAGGTTTATTAGAGGATATTCAGGGATTACAACATCCTTAACCAACCTAACCAAGAAGGATCAAGGAAGTTTCGAATGGACCACCAAGGCGCAGGAGTCATTCGATACACTCAAACAAGCAGTAGCGAAAGAGCCAATACTGTTAACCTTCGACCCTGAGAAGCCAATCATAGTGGAAACGGATTCCTCAGATTTCGCTATAGGCGCAGTTTTGAGCCAACCAGGCCAGAATGAGAAATGACAACCAATCGCATTCTACTCTCGAAAACTATCACCAGCCGAATTGAATTACGAAATATACGACAAAGAATTACTGGCAATAGTCGATGCATTTAGAGAATGGCGAGTTTATTTGGAAGGATCGAAATACCCAGTACAAGTGTACACAGATCATAAGAACTTGGTTTACTTCACCACAACGAAGCAGTTAAACAGACGACAGGTCAGATGGTCGGAGACCATGGCCAATTACAATTTCAAGATTTCATATGTTAAAGGATCAGAAAACGCTAGAGCCGACGCTCTTAGCCGAAAACCAGAATACCAAGAAAATAAGTCGTACGAATCATACGCAATATTCAAGAAAGAAGGCGAATCACTGGTTTACAATGCACCACAGCTTGCAGCTACTCATATATTGGAAGACAACCATCTCAGAAACCAAATCCAATCACATTACGACAAGGATGCTACAGCTATACGCATACGCAAGGCAATAGAACCAGGATTCACAATAGAAAACGAAACCATATACTTTCATGGGAAAGTATACATTCCGAGTCAAATGACCAAGGAATTTGTGACGGAACAACATGGGTTGCCGGCACATGGACATCAAGGAATTGCAAGGACGTTTGCAAGAATCCGGGAAATCAGTTATTTCCCGCGAATGAGAACGATAGTTGAAGAAGTTGTTGGAAGTTGCGACACCTGCATACGAAACAAGTCATCACGACATGCTCCGTATGGTCAGCTCCAGACCCCAGACATGCCTTCTCAGCCATGGAAGTCCATTACATGGGACTTTGTGGTTAAACTACCACTCTCAAAAGATCCTACTACAGGAATTGAGTACGACGCGATACTCAATGTAGTAGATAGACTAACAAAATTTGCTTATATGATACCATTCAAGGAAACATGGGATGCTGAGCAACTAGCATATGTGTTCCTAAGGGGCATAGTAAGCATACACGGAGTACCAGATGAGATAATCTCGGATCGAGACAAGCTCTTTACCTCGAAATTCTGGACTACCTTGCTAGCACTTATGGGTATCAAGAGAAAGCTATCGACATCTTTCCACCCACAAACAGATGGTCAAACAGAGAGGACCAACCAGACAATGGAAGCATATCTTAGATGCTATGTAAATTATCGACAAGACAATTGGGTAGAACTATTACCTATGGCACAATTCGCATATAACACATCGGAAACGGAAACCACGAAAATCACCCCAGCACGAGCTAATTTTGGGTTTAATCCACAAGCGTATAAAATTCCGATACCACAAGAAGTTAATGCCGAATCAGCGATAGTACAAGTCGAACAGCTGAAAGATCTCCAAGAGCAACTGGCTCTTGATCTAAGATTCATATCTTCCAGAACAGCAGCGTACTACAATACGAAACGTAGTATGGAACCTACGCTTAAAGAGGGGGATAAAGTTTATCTGCTACGACGAAACATCGAAACCAAGAGACCAAGCAATAAACTCGACCACAGGAAACTGGGACCATTCAAGATTGATAAGGTAATAGGAACGGTCAATTATCGGTTAAAACTACCAGACACGATGAATATCCACCCAGTATTCCACATATCCTTACTCGAACCAGCACCACCAGGAGCGCCGAAAGCGCCATTTACAGAAATCGAACCAGTCAACCCGAACGCCATATATGATGTCGAAACAATACTAGATTGTAAATACGTCAGAGGCACAATCAAATATTTGATCAAATGGTTAGATTACCCACACACCGAAAATTCATGGGAACCAAGAACAAACCTCAACTGCCCTGAGAAGTTGGAGGCGTTCCACCAGCAATATCCGGATTTGCCCAGAAAGAAGGAGAATCCATTGAAGCAAGGATCGAAGGATCCAAGGAAGAAGAATCGAAAACAAAGGAACCGTCGATAGGGCCAGCAACAGAGACAGACGCCAATTCCTTTTCTTTTTCAACACGCTCATTTTCTAACCTTTCCTTCTCTTCTAGAGCATCGAGCTCATCTAAAGTACGCAGACCACGGCGCAGCATATCGGATTCACGCTTCAACAAAGCACGCTTTTGTTTCCGCAGACGAAGAACTTTAGCCATCGCTTCCTGAGAAACACTTATAGCGCGTTCTTCTTCCTCCTCAAGTCTGGCCTTTTGGCGGTCCAGACTATCCCAATCACTATCAGAAGGGCCACGAACGTCACATCTACGCCCTTGGCGGATACATTCAGCACACCGGGAAGAGTCCGGAGAAGATACAACACATTTGCGCTCTTGGCGTTCACACAAAGAACAAGACGACATTTCGAGACCGCGAGATTCAACAAGACGAGCTAAGCGCAATCTTTCCTTTCGTTTGTGAAAATTATCAGTCATATTGAGAGAAACAAACCATAGTACGACTATATTCCGAAGTGGGGTAAGCCGTTACTATATAACGCTTGGGACAAGCGCTAGGATAAGAAGGGGATAGTGTTACGACGGCATCCAACATACCGCGTCACATGACATAAATTACACGTGATGGAGCGTCAAGGAGCTTCAGCGCTCCTGGAGCGCGTTGCGATCCTTAACGATCCAACATATAGGAGAGGTCCTAGGGACCAGGAGAGAGAACGAAGGTCTATATAAGGGAATGGGTTTCATTACAATGTAGAGCTTCGTGCTCAAGAACAATCATTAGTTTCATTACTATAGTTACGAGAATTGCAACCAGTTACCAACCTTATTGAATTCCTACTTGAAGTCTAGTCTAAACCACCTCGAGAGAACTCTAGACACTTCCACGTGACCCTAGAGGCAGCTCCCGTAACATTGACTTGCCGGTTGATTTCAATATAAAGGTCTATATAGGGAATGGATTTCATTATAATATAAAGCTTTGTGCTCAAGAATAATTATTAGTTTTATTATTATAATTACAAGAATTATAATTAATTATAACCTTATTGAATTCCTACTTGAAGTTTAGTCTAAACCATTTCGAGAGAACTCTAGACACTTTCACGTGACCCTAGAGGCAGCTCCCGTAACATGAAAGTTGTAATAATTTTAACTTTTTTTTAGAATATAATAAGAATGTTTAATTAAAAATTAGATTTTTGAATATTTAATTTATCATTATTATTATTAAATATTCTTTTTTTTTTTAGAGAAATTAAAATTAAGAAAAGCTTGATTTTGATGTATTCTTGAAGTGATGTATATACTAATATAATGTATGTACTAATAAACCACGTTACCCGATAGTACGAAGTATTCTTACAAAATCACAATCCTTGCTGCGGTGAACACGGACGTTTCGAGTCGTGTCTGTGAAAATTCAGTCACATTACTTGACTAGTAAGACATCTCTACATCAGCGTGGTCGCCGATCTTGATTTATTGCCACCGTATATTTACAATTGAGCTATTGTTTCAAGTTCATTCTATTCTTTCTATATTTACATACGATTCTCTTCGGTCATCTCACGTAAATATCTTCCAAAATGGCGTCCAAATTCTGGCCTAAAGGTGGTCTTCCAGGTATCCTCCATCATTATGTGAGTATGATTATCTGTCCATGAAGGACAATTCAATTAACAACCCTTACAGACCGAAACCCTCACCACATTTGAATACACATCCGGCAGCATCGCCAAACCCCACAGTCTCCTCTTCATCGGCGGCTTAGGAGATGGACTCGCAACCACCTCCTTCATGGCCGATATCGTCCAAGCCCTCCAACCCACCCCCTGGTCCCTCTTCACCCTCAATCTCTCCTCCTCCTACGCCCAATGGGGAACTTCTCACCTCGACCGCGATTCCGACGAAATCGCCGAATGTCTGCGCTACATCCAAGCCTATAAGCAATCGCAATTCCCCCACAGCAAAACCATTCTCATGGGCCACTCCACCGGCTCCCAAGTCGTGCTTCACTATCTCCACAAACCCAATCCCCACACCACGACCCCCAAATTCGACCCCCATCTCAAACACGTGAAGCGGCCCATCCTCGACGGCGCCATCATGCAAGCCCCGATTTCCGATCGCGAGGCCATCCAATCCGTCCTCCAAGATGGGCTTGGCAAACGCCCTGCCAGCGAGTGTCAAGCTGCGTTTCGCCAAATCCAAGAAATCGCAAAAGATGCTGCGAAACGTGATCAATCGATTGACATTCTTCTTCCCATGGCACTAACCTCCCAAATCGGCTACGGCAACACTCCCATCAGCTGTCGTCGCTTCATGAGTCTCGCGAGTCCGAAGAGTCCGCAGCAACCCGAGGAAGACGATTTATTCAGCTCGGACTTGAGTGATGCGCAATTAGCAAAGACGTTTGGGATGATTAAAGAGAGGGGATTATTGCGGGATCGGTTGGTGATTTTTTATTCTGGGGCGGATCAGGCGGTGCCGGATTGGGTGGATAAGGAGGGGTTGTTGAAGAGGTGGAAGAATGCGGCGGATCATGGGGGGAAGGAGAATGTGTGGGATGATGAATTCACGGCGATTATTCCGGGGGCTAGTCATGCGTTGAGTAATGATGATCAGGCCCCTGCGAGAGCGTACTTGTGTAAGAGGTTGGTGGGTTACGTGCAGAGGATAGAGCAGAAGTGAGGGGGGAGAGATGGATGGCGATTAATGCGATAGATAAATGTTTGTTGAATGCTAAAGGCTGTTTAAGTAAAATACAGCTATCGATAGGAATGATTTTTTCTCTGTGTTTTTCTTGAGATTGTTAGGCTGTGTCGTGGAAATTGTGAATGATCTGATGCGTAAAGGATGATTTTTCGCTACTGGTGTAGTAAAGGAAAGACGAATGTCAATGCCAAGTGGAATTGAAGAAGTAAAGAGTCTGAAAGTGGAATCGACGAAAGTAAATAATTCAAAAAAGTTGACAAGCTCGTTCCAGCACTCTTGGAGCGAGCAAGAGCGATATCCTACTAGAGCAGTGTCACAAACGAGAGGGTTGATTATCAACATCAACAGAAATTACAAAATTCGGCGAAGTCAAATCGGTATAAAACGGTCGAGTATGCAAATGCTGAGAACAGATAGATACGATACGACAGGAGAAGCCCACAGTCTCTTACTCATACCAAACCCCAATGTATGAATAAGGGTTCAGTGAATGGCTGTAAGTCATTCATAGCCTACAACAAAGGAGCTATTTTTACAGCCAGACTTATTTAAGACTTGCTTCTTTCTGTTTGTAATTAGCTGGCTCATTAAATAGGATACGCATTGATAGTTTACTCGAGTAGAGCCTATCTTTCAGGTCCTATGTCATTCGTTTCCTTCTCAGATTAATACCTAGATTATATATATATAACCATTCTTATCTCTTATCCCTTATCGATCTAGAATTCTGAATCCCATCACATTCTCATCTCATCTCATCTCATCTCATCTCAAGTAGCATGTGTAAAAAGCATCACTTATCACTACTCCCTATCTCATCACATATCCATATCACCAAGTCCCATTCCACGAAAAAATGGCTCTCCCTCCACCCTCTACCCTTGCTTTTACAAAGCTAAAACTCAAATGTCAAACACTGCAAGCCCCGGAACTTCTGAGATTTCAAAATGCTCTTTAAACCTCTCGTATACATCACGAATATTTTCTCCATTGGCCTGTCCAAACGCCTTTCTAGAAAAGATCCACATGCCAGTAACGGCTGAAGCGTTTCTCTCCAACTCCTTATAGCTTTGCTCATCCCTCAGAAAGCCACGCATAGGAATATCCATACCGAGATTCTTCCTGAACAACTCGACCGATTCCTCCCATTGAGCGAATTCAGTTTCTCTATGACGATCAACCATCTGACGCATCCCAAGTTTTGTTAAAACATGTTTCTCAACCTCTTCTCCCCATTCCTCAAGAGGTGGTAATGATATTATTACGCAGACATAAAAATCAAAAGCAGTTGTATGCCGCACCCCCAGCATTCTTTCCAGAACACACCAACTATGATAAAACTGACGTGGATCCCGCCACAAAGCTAGTTATTTCAAATCCGGTTGAATTGGTCTGGGATCGCTCTCCAACCATTCAAAATTGATACTGGATCTGCCTGTTTGTTTTCAAGAAGGCATGATAGCACAAGTCTCTGACAAGTGAGGTCTTCCCATCTGCAGTCCTATATTGTCGTAGATTCTTGAGTCGCATAGTAACTTTTCAACGCACCATAGTGATCGGAGCTTGGTACTGCGTGTATCAATGGGATGCGAAGGCTAGAGGGTGATGTCGAATATGTGAAGTTCCATGACCTATACCGCGATCATGACGCTCTTGACTTGCATTCCTCAGCAAGCTTAGTGTTTCGTAGTAAAAGGGTACTTCAATATCGGGTTGCATGTCTTCCTTGCTTCATCATGAAATGAGTTGAAAAATGTGTCGGGGTTAAAATCAACCATCTCAGTGTGTCCGGGAAGCATATTAGAAGGATGTGGAATATCAAGTAAACTATCTCCTGATCCTTCCGCTAGAGCTAGATGCATCAGGCCTTCATCTTTCGGATCATAAGCTCTAATATCATAGAAAACATCGGCGAGCATCCGAGGAGCTTTATCCCAATCCTGTAAGAACAAGACATCATATTCGGGGTTAACTTGAATATGACCTCGAGCCAGAGGTAGACAAATACGGTAATAAAATTCTAGTGCAGATGATCTTGATTCTTTTGTGGTATAAAACAGCCGGTTGGTTGTATCCGAGATAGGTTTATTGATAGAAAGCTCGTAATGATCGCGCTGATAACATTGCCCAAATCACTATGACTAGAATAGAAGTGAGATTGATCGTGATGGTTTGCGATATCTTGACCAGTTGTCTTGCTTACACAAATCGGGATGAAGCGGTGTTGATGAAGAGATAAAGTCCATATCTCTAGGCGTATCCCTTTAGGAAAATCAGAGAAGAGACGGAATCTTGAAGACCGATTCTGCGTGGATGAACCAAAGTGAACATCATTCTACACACCCTCGTGGCTTGGACAGTGCATTTGCGTTCAACCATACGAAAATGGTTGCACTGTTTAACGAAGTGCGCATAGGAGCTGAGTTGTCGCTTGAACATATATGGTCCAATTCTTTGACAAAATACTATTTGGGACAACCTCTGCGTCGTAGATGTTATTCTGCGTTGTAATATTCTAATTTTGGCGAAAGTCATACTGAGCTTGTTAACCAACAGTTGGGCCCCACAACCTGTCAGCCGATAATCTTTGAGCAGTAAGAATTATTTGAGCATGCGTTATAAGAGAGAGCCCTATACAAAATAGTTAGTACCGGGTTACGAGTTAGATATTGAAGCCGAATCACCATTGTATATTTCACTTAGCAAGGTAGTCTGGTACCATATGAGGTACTTTGATGTTAACATCCAAGTAGTAAGATTTTTATTGTGCAGAACCAAAGCAACTTTCAATTTCTCTCTAAGATCGTGTAAAACAAGTAGAACAATTATGAAAAGAAAAAGGAATATTATATCTTGAAAAAGTACTTGATTGCAAGAAGGAACAAAGTACAGTAATAAATCGGCTCATCTCAATGGTATACCAATGGGTGTATGGATTGACGGGACACCCCCCAGCTTTCGAAATTTTAAACAACTTCGATCTTCAATTGCGCCCCCAAGCGTCAATAACAATATCTCCCAGAATATTTAGACCTGCGACTCGGAGGATCGGAGCTCCACGTCTTGTTGTAGGTGAATATTTCGAGGATGAAGCACTATATCTTCTGATTCATTACCACCAGAGGCCGTCTTCATTATGTCTGCATTTGTAGATGGAGCTGTCAAGCCAGATATGAGGCTGAAGTCGATATGAAAAAATCGCTTTTGGGTTTTCTTATTTCCCTCAATCGGATACCTCTCACATGGATTTGGAGGAGTCGGTTGCACGGGGTTGTTGCGGGCGAATAGAGAACGAAATGAAGCAAGACATGCAATTATGATAGCTGTACTTGAAGTTAGCGACGGGAACACAGTATTAACCCGAAGTATGAGATCAAACTCACTAACAGTCTGCTCTACGAGACTCCACGTGTAAAGCCAGCTCTCCTCAAATTGATGCGAGTACGAGCTTACAACGGATTGGCGAACGATGGAGAAGATTATCGTTATGATGACGAGTGAGAAAATACCAGCCAATGCTAACTTTCGTTTTCGGCTCAAGCGTACAGTCCACAACATACTGATAGGAATAGCCAAAACTTTGCTTGTTAGTTTTATCCGCTGAATTGAATGTAGGAACATTGACTTACTCATTGCGTCTGTCAAGACGTCCAGTCCGCAACCAAGTCCGAGTGCAAAACGTTGGATTCTGATTGCAGACCTAGATAGACAGGTAGCTGAAATTTTTGCAAAGCTTGGTATCAAACATGAATAGGGAATTATCCCAATACATATCATCCAAGATGCAAACACAACTATGGCTACAATACGTCGTGGCCAGACATAGGAGTCCACGTTCTCCAAGAGTCGCCCGAAGAAAAGTAGGAAAGATATCTTGATAAGCCATAATGTACAGTAATAGAGTACATATACGGCCGCAGAGCCTCGTAGAAATCTCTCGGCATGCTTTTCGAATCCTTTCGGTGGAGGAAGGAGAACTCCGTTCAAGACCCCAAGCATCTCATACATGTCTCTACTAATCTTCTGACAAATGATCGCACAGGAAAGAAGAAGTAGCCAGGCCACAATGACGCAGAAGTCATCAGGTGAAAGACGTCTAAAGGTTCGAATTCTAACCCAGATTCTGAAAGTTATAAAAAGGAAGGAAATTGCAGTACAGCCCCAAGTTACACCCTGTTATGATAGTCAATGTTTGAGGGTAGCGCGGAAATTAGGCATGGAACAGGCTTACTATGAAAGTTTCATAGTTGACTATTGGATTTGGCGTTAAAGTGTTCATTTTAAACCAGTCGAGAAGTTCCAAGTCCTCAATACCAGTACAGTCTTCCGTTAAGACTTTCGATATCGTCAAGAATGATGTATTCAGAAAAACTGAAGTTTTTGATAGCAGATTTATGACAGCAAGCGAACAAGGGCTAGAAGGGCATAAGAAGAGGATATATAGATAAAGAAAAATAAAGATGAAGTTTTTTTTTGAGTTTGAGCATTGAGGTGGCCTGCCCATGAGTCTATGCCTCATAAATTGAGCACATCTAAAAACTCTCCGCCCCCGATGCTCTGCAGACCTTGAAATATCTCATGTACAATGTCTTGGGAGTGCATTGCTGACCAGACCTGGACTTCCTATTTGCCACTATTCTCCAGCACTTATCAGTAGAAAATAGCAACAACCTTCTTGCATGTTGAAATGTTATTGGATGTCACTGTAGGGCTGTTAATATCTATTGCTTCAAGAGGCAAAGGAAGTACATCATCAGAGCCATAGTTCGGTAAAGAGGATAAGTGGTGGGTTATTATTGATGGTGTCGGGTGTACTGCGCCATAAAATTCTGCATCGACTACCGAAAAAGATCAATTAATAGCGTTGGTAAAGTCTGTGCATTGCATGTATTGATTTATCAACGTCGAGATGAACATGCAGTCATGGTCGGCGTAGCAAATATACTGCTAGAACTGGGGAATCATCATATGCAAGCCACCCGGCTATGAGCATACCCGCATATATCAACGAAATGATCATCTGATCGATTCTATCTCTTCATCCCTTTGGAATACAGCCTAATACAATGTTTGGGGGACCTTGATAGCAAAAATTATCTTCAAGGCATAGCTCAGCGAATTCCAAATTGGTGTCTGCCGACAATTGTTACATTCATTGTCAAGGTAATGACAAATAACATGAACGAGAGTATCTAAAAGAAAGTATATATTCGGTGTAACGCCAATAACCGTCGTGGGATTCGTCTCACAAGATTTCTGAAAGCACAGAAAAATTTGATAATCCCCTCGACTTATCATAAAACACCTGCGCCGCTCGCGATTTTAGTGTTGGATTGGAAAATGTTGTTTCACGACATGTAACAGTACAAAAGGCATCTTCTAGCACAGGCTGGAATGAAAGTCGAAAATAGATCTGCGCCAAACTCTTAAAAATTTCTTGTGTGCATTTGTGAATCTATCCATCGGGTATCATGTAGAGGCTCAGACAACTCATTAGCATCAACAAAAGTATCCACAGTTAGTGTTGATTTTACGATATCAGGCTTCGAAGTAAGAAATGCAAATCCTTATTTCCCAATAAGGTCATCTGGAGCTGGGTCAGAATTTCGTGCTCAGACTTAATGCGTGCTGTGACTACTGGAATTGCGACATCATGCTGAGGTTTTACTACGAACAAGCAGAGCTCGTCGATGAAACGGGTCGCGCAATGGAAGAGTGCCCTCGAAATTACAATTCGACATCGCAAGTGGTCTTGACAAACAACCGTATTCAAGGCTGACTTCACTAGAAGTGTTATTATGCATGGTGGACTGATGAGCCAGTACAAATGTCATATAAAGGACAACAGAAGGGAGTGGAGAACTGTTAGAGAGTCTGTCTGCCTACTTCTGCATCGCTTCGGAATTTGGTTGCTCAACATTGTTCTGAAGACTTTAGATACTGGAGGGTGCAAATATCTTCACTCGGTCTTGCAGATTGAAGGAACTGAACGAAAAACGAGACCGGTAATCAGTGCTCAAAGAGGTCAACCATACAATTACGAGAGGGGACAACTGCTCCTGATAATGAGTGCAAGAACAAAACCTCGAGTTCGTCAGAAGCTTAGTAAAAGAGTGAAAATTGAGGGAATAGAGTTGTCGCGAGCAGACAAATCAAAATGCAGTCATACTTAAACTGCAGTTTTATCAAAGTAAAGCACCAAAATTCAATAATAACAGATGGGTGTTCCATTCAGCATCTAGTATGACGGAGGAGTTAATCATGCTTGGATGTAGTCTTTTCGGTCGAAAGCAACTTGAGAGCGATCGAGACAAGTAGGAATAGATGGGCGTGAAACATGTTAAGACGGGGATTAGTAGCTGTACTAGCTCGACTGGCTCATGAGTTCTCAACATTGATCGAGGTCGCGCAGTTGAATGATTAATAGAACGAGATGCCTGTAATTCACCAATAATCACTAGTCACACCGCCTGGCAGAATTATTCAATTCGTTCAAACTTCTCACCTGGCAATGATTTATACAATTTTCAATTCAATCACTCGACTATCTTGATTTACGTTCCTCATCAAGACGGCGATGAAGTTTGGATCCATGTACTGCATGCGCTAGCTATACAAACGATTTCCGGATATCTATTCACACAGACATAAAATGTGTTCCGAGTTTGTCACCTCTGTATAAACTTGATGTGAATCGCCCGACGACATATTATCAGATTGAAGTCTACACACAGGTACGAAAAGCCCAACTTCTTATATTAAGCGTCATGTATACAGCTATACCATGATATGTCTCTAGCCGTCAACCCCAAAACACCAACTTCGTCTTTTCACCTTCGTTCAGAGGCGGGATAACTCCAAGGAAGCTTGACATTGCCAAACGGCGCGTTCCTGTCTCGGAATAGACCGGATGCACTTGGTGCATATTACGAGAGTTGAAGAGGTATAAATCACCAATGTGAGGTTGGAAATCTACCTTGTGGCGTCCCTCAACAAGACCCGGAAAATATCCATAACTATTGGGGTCACGAAATTTCAATGCTTCAGGAGACCACTGCAAATCGTGAACAGTAGTACCACCACTATTGATCGGTGGTGGTGTTATACAAAGATTGGCCGCAAGTTGGCGGGTCAATCGGCTAATCGCCCATGATTCCGTCCGAGTATCATAAGGTGCCCAATCGCAATGAACTGGTGTTCCGTTGTTGATTACTCGAAAGATGCCAGCGAAGTAAGATTGTGTCCCATCGTCCACTACCTCTGTGGCTATCATGACCTCCCAGTCTTCAGGCGCAATTGATTTAATAAATTCAAAGACCTTAGCGAAAGCATTCACGCCAATTTCTGCTTCCAATTTTCCATGCGGGTCGCCCAGGTCACGTACAGCCTGGAAGTATTCCTGCTTCTCTATATATTTAATCAGCTAGTTTCTACATGACGTGGTACGAGAAAGACTTCGGAGAGTTTGTTCATGACAGCACGTACCGTTTCCAGACCTATTTTTTAAGTCATCCTCACTTTGTGCTTGAAACTCAAACTGAGCAACGCCTACTTTTGCCAATTTTGGACCAGTAGCATGCAGATACGGCGTAAGTCTTGGCTCCAGTGTCTTGGTGAGCTTAGAACAGTCCTCTTTGGAAAGGAATCCAGGCTCGTGGAGGATAGGAGTTCGACCTTCCAAGAGATCCAGCAAGGATGCCTGCGTAGCACGAACCGGTTTGGTGGTTTTCCATTTCGACTCAATGACTGGATTTGCTTTACAACCATGGTCAAGATCGGGAGTGATACTAGTGGCAGCAATCATGATTTCTGATTACAACTGCACTATTAGGAGAACAAATTTTGTGTTTTGGAAATTGGCTAACGAGAGAAAAGCTATATAAACATCATATGAAATGGAGGCTTGAGGGCATATATATACTTTGGACTGGAACCTTCTACAAAATTCAAAAGCAGCTTTCTACATGGGCCCCCCTCTTGCTGGAATCGGCAGTGGTATCTCGTGGATACAACCTCTTCTCACTCCGATATTTAATTTAGGATATACTGCTGGACAACGGGAATATAACCGCTTAAGCAATGTCTTCAGCAGCGATATCATACACAAACGCCAGCTCAACTATTGATATTATGCCGGAATATCTATTTCAGTGCTGAAATTACTTGTACCACCGCTTCCAAGATTTTCTTGGCATCGATATTATGTATGAGAATACATTCTCGTACTGAAATCATGCATCCTGTCCCAAGATTGGCTATCATGACCGCATGAACCAACCGGATATCTACAGCACTAATGCCGTACATACACGGATTATTTCTGAAGTTGTAAACTGAAGGATCCGGATCATCCAATGGCCGCGTTTATGACAGGTTACACGGCATTGCTAATCATCCCATCAGCAGAATCACATCAATTCTCACCAATTTCCGTATATTAATCGACGAATTATAAACCCCAAACTCTATATGAAACGAGCTCCAAGCGCTTTTACGCCAACGACATGAAAAAGTGGCTCGTACTAGCTGGAATTATATGTGGCGTCTGTAAAACATTCCGAACACCATCGCCGATATGCACGCAATTGGCAAAAGCACGTCTAATTGGATGAAGCCGCGAGACATCAGGTTGCATATATCAGCCACGATGATGCGAGGTTTCTCTGAATTCTTGTGTAAGAAAAGAATATCAAATTATAACTCTGAGTATTTCTTATCATAGTCGAGCAATCGAAATCTTGCTGCTTGTTTAGATACGGCGATTTTTCGCATACGCCTCTGTGAATCTTGAAATCTAGAGAGAGGATCCCGAGACAACAAATATGTTTCACTAACTATCTTACAGTAACAAGTAACGGAGAGTATGAAGAAAGACAATTGCGTTAGGAGCCTGGACCAATAACCATCAATAGATATTGTGAGATTCTCTGTGTGGATCTTCTTCCTCGTGAGCTGCTGCTTACACTCACTATTAACCCTGACTGGAACTGGTTGAATAGATATTATCAGAATTGCCGGAACGTTGAGTGCCAACCAAATCTAGATGTTATCGATGTCACTCAAATCTCCTCAAGTCAGCAATTTTCGTTCCAAAGTATATCAACTTTTCCCCTCTTCTAGACTGCTAGAGCTTCTAGTTTCTTCCCATTCATTACAGAAGCTCTCATAACAGTTAAATTTCGACAATAGTAATTGAGTTACAATCGCAGTCACGGTATCATAGTATCGGTATTCAACAAAACTTGTGGCGCTCCTGAGCTGCTGAATGTAACACAGTCAGTTTCTCAACTGCATATAATCAAACCGGACACCGCAGAATTTAGGAAATACTACGTAATTGCCGTTACAGCATTATGTTCTCTCATGATGTGATGAGCTTTCGGGCGTCGAGGAGTCCTTACATTACCTCCGACGGACTAATTGAACCCCAAGAGCTCGTCACACTGATAGTTCTGTATACCTAGATAGACGATGTTGGTAGTATTGGTAAAGAAAGGCTAGAATATCACAGTGGCGTTTCAGGTTAGGTGGATGAATATACATGGCCCATGTGAGTGTTGTGTAACGTGTGATACAGCTTGTATATCGTCAAACCAAATATTTGATTGTCATATTCCATATTCGTTAGATTTCGCACAAAGAACCTGGATCTTAGTTCCAAATAGCCATAAGCTTTCGGTGGGAGTAAGAGACTACAGATATAAAGGTTATAGTTCATCTCAAAATATACATCTGCTCTCGATGTATCGTTGCGTCCTGATGAAAGGCTCGTTATCCTCTTTGCTTCTAAGCTTGAATAAGAAATCAGCATGTTCTAGAAAGCGAGAAGCTTCGTAGTGAAATATTTTTGTTTGTTTATTGCATGGGAACTTACCTCTACAGAATTTGATAACATATCAGATCTACATGGTGAAGATATGAAGGAGCTGAATGGACTTACGAAGCAATCAGGCGACGGGGTGTGCCGTAGAAATGCGATGAACCGTAGAAATTTCTTTTGAAAGCATCCAATCCTTAAGGTATTAGTAAAGAGGGTTTGAGTCACAGTTGTCAACAAATTCGAAAAGACATTCTAGAGTGGCATCCTCCGCAATCTCAACTTCACAGTTTATTTGTTTTGGAATTCACTTTCTAGTCAAGAAGATTCGTCTGCATTACCTATTCCACGATCTCACCACATCGTCTTCAACGGCCATGCAATTCGAAACTTTTTCACTCGTATAACTATCGCAAATGGTAAGCAGGTATTGTTTCCTTTTTACGCAAACATGCCAATTATTTATAGTATCCAAGAATGGAGAAGGTCAAGCGCACGACGAGAAAGCGACAGCATATAGTGGGTGGAGGAGCACGACGACTCTTCAACAAAACACCAAGAAGAGACGTCAACTATCCAAGAAAGAAGAATGACTGGGGCCGTAAGTTTCCCTATTTCTGTGGAAGTCGAAGAAATAATACTAACTGCCCAATGATTAGTCCTCGCACTGCATCCCAAGACGGACTTAATCATTCCCAAATCGACCTTCGCAACTTTGGCAAGAGAGATTATGAAGGATATCAAACCTGGAGAAAATTACGAGATTGATCAACATGCCTTGGATTCTTTGCAAGAATGCGCCGAAGCTTATGTTGTCCAGGAATTTGAAAGCGAGTCTCTACTTTCTCTTTGATGATTTCTGTACTAATTTGATAGTGGCCACTATATTCACTGCTCGCGCGAGTAGAGCCACGATTCAAGTGAAAGATATGAAGGATGCGAAGTTTATCGGAGACTTGCGGGATGGATTGGCAGTCCAGTTGGAGGATGCGAAAGATGCGAAGAATATGAAGAAAATGGAGGATATCGAGGAGTCGGACTGATGAGGGATTCTTGAAGAATACTCACCGAAGTTGATACTTCTTGATGCATGATGCACGAGACACTTATATTCTCATGAAGTATCAGAAGCCACATGGTTACGGATAGTCTGAGTCTATCTGCCTCCATAGATGAAGGAGTTTTATTGTCTTTAGTCCCTGCATTCTCGTGCAAAATCAGTTGCAGAAATGAAAATTTAAGGTGTAATCTTGTCTCAATGATCGTACCAGTCGCTGAACTCACTTTTTGCACTTGTAGAGCTTCTTGGGCCATTCTTGCACAGCCGCGTGATCTTCTTTCTGTTCCATCTTCCTTTCGAACGTTTGTTTATTAAACTCACGAGTTCGACCGTTTGTCTGTTTGTTCAATTACCACCATACCATAATCTGGCCAATAGGTGACCAAGAAATCCACCAACATGATACCAACCAACACTTGGTGTATTTCAACAAAACTGATGACCTTGACCGACCAAACCGTCGTAGCAATCTTCTTCCATGATGCCGCCGTATACATCAGTGTTTACTTCAATTTATGGCTCCAATGTTGTTTCGACTACTGACCACGCTTTTACTCCCCCTTCCTCTTACATGGGGTGGAGGCAACATCTACAAATTGTACCAGAATTACATTTTAGCCAAAAAGATTGGTGTACCCATTGTTGTTCTTCCACTGAGTCCCCAAAATCCAATATGGATGCTACTTGCAGATATTATCGTGCCTCTCTTCCAGAAATCCAGCATCACTCGTTCATGGCCATTAATCAGATTTGGTCGAAGAGCATGGGAATTCAAAGATAAAGCACAGATTCATTTGGAAATCGGGGATGTCTTCATCATGGTTACTCCGGATGAAAATGTTTTGTATATTTGTGATGCTGATACTTTGAATGAAGTGCTGCTGAGGCGGAACAAATTCAAGAGGCCGAGGGAGGTTCTTGGTATGTTTCCTTCTCGGAAAAGTAATACTGCGTGAGCTCTTTCTAACTTCCACTAGAGATGTTGAATGTGTTTGGACCGAATATCTCTACGGTTAGTAAGATCATATATCAGCCGAATGGGAGTTGACCTTGGGCTACTTACTGACCATGAAACATAGGTAGCAGACGAAGACTGGCCTCGCCATAAAAAAGCTACAGGTCCACCTTTCAGCAATGAGCAAACCAACAGACTAGTATGGCAAGAAGCGCTTTGACAAACTCAAGAAATGATGCATTATTGGACTGATCAGGGGGTGTTGGCCTTATGGACTACCGCTGAAGATGCCAAAACCTTTTCGCTAAATATCCTCTCAAGTGCTGGATTTGGTAAATCATATCCTTTCAGACCTTTGCCAGATCCAGAAAACGACCCGAATCACTCAATGAGTTACAATGAATCATTAAGCTTGATCGTTGGAAACGCGATTCCAATCCTGATAATTGGACCTAACTTCCTCTTAAAATGGAGACGCCATCTCCCCAAATCATTACAGGAGATCGCTCAAGCTACCGTTGAATTCCAAGCATACATGAAAGAGATGGTACAAGAAGAACGAAAACTAATCGCTACGGGCAAACAATCTAAGCCGAATTTGATGACATCTCTGATCCGAGCGTCTCACTCCAATTCCGATATCAAATCTGATGCTACGTATCCCGGGAGTAAGCAACCTAGTCTATCAGAACCCGAGATATTGGAAACATGTTTGTATTTAATTTCGCAGGTCATGACACGATGTCTCCTACGCTTTGTTATGCTCTTAATTTCCTTGCTGCTCATACCTACTGTGCAGGATTGGATTTCCGAAGAAGTGAATGCGGTGTTTTTGGATTCGGATGCTTCTACTTGGGACTATGAAGACTCTTTTCCTAAACTGAAACGATGCATGGCTGTAATGGTGTGTAGATACCCTATCGATGTTGTGATTATATACTAAAAGTATTACGCAATTAGAGACACTCCGTCTTTACCACCCTCTTGTTACATTTACAAGATCAACAGGAAATCTTCCAAAAACCATCACATATGCTTCTAAACAACTCCATTTACCACCAAACACAATGATCCTGCCAAATCTCCTCGGTGTACCATCCCATCCTCGTTACTGGGGATCCGATCGACTTCTCTGGCGTCCTTCTCGTTGGATTATATCATTCTCAAATCAAAATGATGAATCGACAGAAGAACTCTGGAAACCGCCTAAAGGTTCATATAAGCCATGGTCCGAAGGGCCTCAAGGATGTCCTGACAAGAAATTTGGTCAGGTAGAATTTGTGGCCGCAATGGCGGGATTATTTCATAGGACCAGAGTAGAGATTGTGAAAGAGGCTGGAGAGAATCAGGAAGAAGCCGAGAAAAGAGTCAAGGCGTTGGTGGATGATAGTGCCATGGTACTTTTGTTACAGATGATGAAGCCCGAGAGGGCTGGTTTGAGATGGGTTAGAAAGGGATGATTGGTTGGATCGTGAGATTGTTTATAGCGCTAGAACAAAAAACGACAAGCCACCGCCCAAAGCCATCTAAATCTAGAATATAAAACCTGGTATCATATAAATCTCCATCTCTCCCTTCCATTCCCCCTCCCCAAAAACCATCTTCCACCCTCTCACCCACTTAATCCCCATGAACCTTCCCATCCTTCACCTGCCCCCCTTTCCCCTCCTCCTCCCTCCTCCCCGGCTTCGCAAACACCGCCCCAAAAAGACTCAGAAAATTAGTCGATCTCAAAACCATCGTATACATCAACGTCATCCCCACCACCACAATTTCCTCCCTAAACTTCTCATTCCCAATGACTTCCTCCCCCAAAAACTCAATCCGTCCCACATTCGTAAAACTCATCGTATTAGCCGAGAACTTCGCCACCGGCATCGAAGACACATCTAGACAAATAAAATCCCAATTCTTCCACCCTGATGATGATGTCCATAACATCTGTATCGGTTCCGTACTCGAAGGGGAAAAGGTTCGGGAGAGATGCGAATACTCTGTCTTGAAACGTTTCATGGCTTTTATTTTTATGGGGTGCTCCCGGAGAGAACAGTCCGAGTCGATGGAGAAGGAGTGGAGGGTTCCGGTGCCGAAAATGGATTTGTCGAGTGCGGATTTGAAGAGGAGGTTGGGGGAGAGGGGTTTGTAGGAGACGGTGTAGAGGGGTTGAGGTGCAGAGGAGGAGGAATCTTGGGTTGTGATGAGCGATTTCCATTTTTTCCAGGAGAAATCGACGGAGAGGGTTTGGTGGGGGGAGGAACATGAGGTGGTGGAGGTAGTGGCGGTGGTGGTTTGAAGAGGTATCGATGGAGATGGGCCTGCAGCTGTTGCCATGGTTGCGACGGTGTAGGATTTGTTTCCTGCGCTTGATTGAAAAAGTTGAACTCTTTGCTTATTTTTATAAGTTCATCTTCAAATTAATCAATCATGGATCCTTTATTCTTATATACCCAAGCCCTCTCTCACAGCACCGTGATGTCGATCTCCACAAAGAGCTGTATTCCCATCTCATCCCACCCTATCCTAAATAAAGTTCCACGCTGACCACCAAATTCGGTACAATATCGCGCATTGTCTCCCCACACATCTGACATTCTCTTCTCTACTCCATCAAATCCACATAAGCTTACATCCATCCACTCCTCCCGTGATTCAGCTTGCCATTCATGAAAAAAGATCGACATGCCAGATTATGTCATCCCACATCCCAAATAGGTGCTACGTGCCGCTGCCATCTTGGCGAGTTTAGGCCCCCAACTGTAAGACCCGCTAAGCCCCTTCGCTTCCCCATTCTCCCCGTTTCTTCAGATTATCTTTGATGTTTGGGAATTTATATACCGCGCTGCGTTTTCATTTATCCACTTTATTCACATGTGCCAAATTTCCTTTTAGGGCCACATGTAGCGCTTTCATATTTCAATTTCTTCGTGTGCAATCGCAATCGCAATGCCTGGTGTACCATCGGGACGTGGATGCGAAGCGTGTCGTAAACAGAAGAAGAAGGTTTGATTGCTTAATATTCCATGCATGGGAACAAGGATGAATATTTCTAATAACAAATAGTGTGATCAACTCCAGCCCTCGTGTTCACGCTGTATACGACTGTCAATTCCCTGCATAGGTAGTGGAATCAGGCGCTACAAATTTATATCTGGTGCCATCGACTCCACCGTAAAACCTATTTCCACAACCGCGAATCACAACAACGACAACACACTCCACACTACTCGTAAACAAATATTTCGAATGCCCGGTAACAAAACTATTTCCGTGGCAGGATCATTCATATCCGTTCTGGAAGTAAAAGATATTCGCTACGATATCGGTGTCTATGGAGCATTTCTCACAGAGATTCCTAAGCGGCTGGGGAGTAGCGCCGCGCTAGATGCTTCGGTTAATGCTATTTCGACGTCATATAAATCGATATATTCACGAACGAAACCAGTAGAGGCGCTAGAGAGTTATGGGAGGGGGTTAAAGGCGCTAAGGGTTGCATTGAATGATCCGAAAGAGGCTGTTGAAGCGAACACTATTTGTGCGTTTTATTTGATGATGATTTGTTAGGTGAGTTGTGTTGATGTCGATGAAGCGAATAACCGTTCTAATTTAGGTTAGACTTGGATGGCTCACGGTGATGATAATGCTACTCATGGGGAAATATTAATATATTTGTTGAATGCAGCTGCAGCGCAAAATTGGCAAGGCGCCTTTGAAGCAGAACTTTTAGTAACCTTGTGTGTTCCTCTGGTATGAGCCCTATGCGTCTAGAAGGAATCGCGTGAAGACTTTGACTTATTTTCATTACAGATTATGGAAGGCATCCGAAACCCCAGGGTGAAGTGGACCCCAGTCATAGGAAAACTAACCGAAGCTCGAGATAACGCCATTGGGATCGAAAGCCTCAAGCTCCAAACCCTAGCCAAAGTCCCAGAATACTTGAGATATCCAGAAGAATATCTTCCCGAAATTAAATCCACATATGCTCAAATGAAAATTGACCTCTCAACCATGCGGAATTCCCTAGACAAACTCCGTCAAGCCCCACATACCAGAACACTACATTCACGCTTCCAAGCCGCGTATAGTCTGATACTTTCATTTGCCAACTTGCTGAACAGCTTACTTCGTGTATCTTCGGACGATCATACATCTTTAATTCCGGAATCGGTATGCTTTGTTGAGGAAACCATCGTTCTTGCCGAAGACGCACTTGAGTATCGACCATTAGGATCGAGTGCTATGCCAATGGTCCTTACAACTGCTTGGGTGGCGACGAGTGACATATCTCGGAGAATAAGAATAGAGAAGCTGTTGACAGAATACCAATCCGATTTCGCAATTATGAATTGGATGGAAGTCGCGTTGTGGCTGGAAGAAAGGTTGAGAGATATCCACTTCTCATTGAAGGGTCTTGGTGTTGCGGCGCCGTTGATAGTCACTTGAAACTTGGGGCGATTGAGACGTGGGAGGTGGAATACAGAAGCTGGGTGGCGATGGAGCCCCCGATGAGGATGAGGCCTTCGAATGTGATTCTAGTCTGGGGTTTAAGTCGTTACTAGGCATGGTGTAGAGAGAGAAACTGAATAATACAGATATCATGCCCATCTTATTTGGGAATAAAGCCCCAGCAGGACAGCAGTCAGCCCCATCATAAGCAATACGGAGCCAAAATAAGTTCATTATTCAATGTTCCGTTTGATGAATACTGGAACATGATATCCAGGACCGTATCGGTGGTCTCCCTATTTGAGCCAAGTGAGTTCTCAAACAAAACAATGACATCTCGATTCTGTTCGCTCGCGACCCTCTTAACGCTGTGTTCAACACTAGATTTAACATACCAGACATTTTTGTGTTTACCCCAGGATCGCCGAAAGTATTGTCTGAAATCCTTTCGATTTGTTGCGTGTCATTCTAAGCTCGTAATGAACTCATCAAGATGTGTGAAGTGTATTACACACTTCGGAATCGTCCAGTACCGAGGTTTACAGGCTGCTTCGAAATGTACCAAGTCCAGAAATGGTTGATAGGTATCGGCATCCTTCAAAAATTCAGAACTCATCATTGAGATCGTGTAGAGAATTGTTTTTGGTCCTATCGCCACTCTGACATCCTCCCAATTTTTATGGTAGCTTTCGAATCCACCATAATCGTAGACTTTGACAAATCTATTTTCCCCCATAATATCCATTTTTTGAGCTCTGTTAAATAGTAGAAGAACGTCTTCTTTCGTAGGGATATAAGTAGAGCTCCAAATGCGGTGGCTAAAGCGAAAACAACTACGGATGGTTAGTATATTCAACTTGAGTGGGTTACTGAACAGATTAACCTTTCAACGGCTTTTATTCTTGAGTTTTTTCTTGACCAAGCATTAAAGGTCTTTCGAAATCCTTGGTCCCCCCACAAATTCTTAGCCAAACAACAAATCGTCTCAGGTGTATGATTATATGGCCAGCCTTTATATGACCAAACATTATGCGAAACAAGTGGTCCGTCTTTGAAGGCACCAATATTGTATAGCCCATATTTCTCAGCCCAATGAGAGGAGACATTGCGTTTACTCATCTCCCAAACTGTGTGCAAAATGCAACGTAGAATTTATGATTGGGTGGCCTTTTCGTAGATCCAACTTTCATCGCTAGTCATGTCCTGAGAGAGGAACTCAATGGAATCTGTGAGGGGGGCTTTTCCACTATTACTGCACCCCGATAGAAGAATATAATGAAGAATCTGGAGAGACTCTTATGGCCTGGGACAAGGGCCATCTTTCTTATGGAAATTCGATGTATCTGAAGAGTTTTCGTGTAGACTATGAATTGGTAAATAGCTGGAACCATCTTCTGGATCTAGGAAAGGGTTGTCGATGATATCTGTAGAGGACCTTTGCTTCTCCGATTGCCACTCAAAAGTTGTGGATCGCAATTCATTATTAGATATATCCATCGTCGAAATCTTTTCATCTATTGAAGTCGGTCTTGAGTTTGGTAAGTTGCTATCGCAATCACTAGGAACGGTCTGTTCGAAACACCATTCACTTGTACGGTTTAATGGCAATTTTGGTCGCCTCTGCTTCGAATTTTGGCTCATGTTCGTTTTCTTTTTTGAACGGGGCAAAGATATGCTTTCAGGCCCGTCTCTCGTCATCTCTGGTGATGTTGCAACATTTCGATACACATTCGTAGTAGCGATTTCCTTATCAAAGTCGAAAGCAATATGTGAGCCACTCGTCTCTGCGGAAGTACCACTCCTAGATCTGAATGCTGACAATGAAGAGCCATCATCCTCGACCTTTTTGAAGACTTTCTGGCTTTCAGGTTTCTGTAGAAGCTGATTGCGGTCGAATGAAGTGCGGCTGTTTTGTTCGTCAACACAGTTCAGATAACATATATCTATTACAAGGCTTTTCTTGGTATTAGAAGCGCTGCGAATATTTACCTTTGTACCGCCGTGAGCAATTAATGAAGAGCATTGACCTGACTATTCAAGTAATTATTGAGTTCTCTGATTTAACTTTCGTTCCACATAAATCTAACTTTTCCTTTCAACTGTCGGTCGACGCCATTTTGATCCAGCCGGGTAATGTGATCTTCCAAAATCACTAAAAAAAACATGACAACTTTCAAGAGAGCTTTCTAGATGAACTATAAGTTGTTCGCTTTTATCAACTCCTTGAAGAGCCGTTGCGATCCAGTTCGACACCTCATTTAACGCGGCTTTGATAGTTGTCAGTTGTCCAATCAGAAGACTGGTCATAAGGCTGGCGCTTTTGTATTTCGACTTGAGTGTGACGAGACTTGTGATAGTATTCGTAGCGACTTTTCCGGTAGTTAAGACCGAGCCGGTAAGACTGAGAATTGATACTGGATCCATTTTGTGATAAATGTTATTTCGTAAAGAAGAGCAAACGAAAAACAGGTCGAGAACCGTTCCAAAGCACAACTAGCCATTAAGAGTGTACCGAACAGCTGATGTCTGCGCCTACCCTCGTGCCACGGGTATCGACGTCGCTGTATTACATAGCTGTAGTACATAACAGTAATCTGTCAAGATAATAGGCTTTGGTTGATGCAGTCGGGTCACCATTTCATAAACAGTTTATCCAGAGTTGGAGCAAGGCTATGAGCAAGACCAACTTGCCAATCCCTGAGGATTCCAGTCAAAGCGGAGTAAGCGACTTTGCACCAGTTATTAGTCACGTCGAGTCGTCACACAATATCTAATGAAGAAAGAACTCCTTCGGTTAAGTAGACATGCAGCCTCGATGCATGCATGGTCCATTGTCTTATTTCAATCACTTAATAATAGACGTGCAGCCTCTTTTTAACTTGCTATGTTCTCAAGTCAGCAATCCCCACGAGTTCAATGAAGATCCCAGCATTCAGAAAATCAACAACCCCCAAAGCCACCAACATTCCAAAACCACCACCGCGCACAAGAGGCCAAGCACAAGAAACAAGCATAAGCCTCACCTACTCTTCCATCAAGTCCTACCGATCCTTGCCAAAACCTCTCTAGGGGGTTCAAAGGGAAGATAGACGTATTATTTAAAACAACGACGGTACGATTTGATTAGGCAGTAAAAGGGTAGGTACGGATTGACGACCTCATTCAAAGCTACAGTCCATGGAACTTGACAAGTCAAGTTCATTTGGGTAGAAGTGACTAGGAAACTACCTAGCTTGTGGATTGCAACCGCACTTGTGGCTGTCGATTATATTGTAAATACCGTGTCAACGCGAATTATGGCAGTCGGGCCTCGTGGGCTGCAAGCCATTCCTACCGACCAATGGAGATATCTATATTTGAAGACAGCGACGAGAGAGACAAGAACCGTCTTGATAGATTGAATCTTTAATTTTTTTCAATGGTATCGTGAAACTGGATGTATAAACATATAATATCTTGTTAACGCCATCATGGACAACCCGTGGTATCCCCATATCCACTAAACGCCTTTAAACAACCTGTACCAAATCTCTTACTCCCATTACATAACGGGTAGCAATTATACCTCCTCCAAACTCCTTTGGTGCTTATAAGACTGGCACATATATACTATATTAGATAAATCCGAACTTGTCTCACGCAACGAACCTACAATGACCATCCAACGGCCATAGAATTTATCTTTTCCCAAAATAAATTGCTTCATGAGAACATGGTCAACGTCTTTGGCTCTCGATAGAAAACCGGAGTCGAAATATTTAAGATGGTATATTAATCTCGTAACCAATCATAACCTCCGTATTAGTACCTTCCCAACCCCTGTTCCCAGCAGCTGATATCATATACTTGCACGTCGGATCGATGTGAAGTGCAGCTATGACACCAGCCCTTGGTGGCCCAGGAACGATAAGGAAAGGTACGGATGAATGTGATTTAGTCTGTGGTTGCTTCAGGTCATATAAACGTAAGATATCGTGTGATGCACTATTAATCATTAGTTTGGTGGGTGAAGCAAGAGAGAGGATGTTAAATATACCAAATAAGATGTCTCCCATTAGGCATGGCTTTTATAGCACTAACTGCACCACTTCCATTTGGAAACTTAAACGTCCTTTCGGGTTGCTTAAGACCTTTGTGTAAACTAAACTCTTCCACTGTACCATTCCTTCGGCCAGCATAGATGTAGTTCCCATCAGGTGACCAGCAAGCAGACATACACCATGGAGGTACTCCAGTTCTGGTCAGAATTCGAGCAATCGGGTTTGGTTGACGTCTATCCCAGACACGAATAGTCCCATTGATTGAGGCAGCAAGAAATGTGGAGTCAGATGTTGCATCAGCATCTTGAGTTTCAGGCTCTGCCTTTACTTCAATGATATCATCGGAATGGGGTAAGCCATTAGATAGATCAGCCTGCGGTGGTTCGGATTGAATTTGAAGGGAAGAAGCAGGTTCTTCCTCAATTGCTAGAGGTGGTGCATCCATCATAGACATATCACCTGAAGAATCTGGTCGTGCTTCCATGTTCATATCCAAGGCTTTTGAGAACAAATCTTCATCGTCACCAAAGTTTCCTCCGGAGGGAGCTCCCAGCCCATCTGTATCTCCGAATAATGAATCTCCACCCCCGAAAAGAGAATCTGCAGGTGATCCAGGAGCATCCTCATTACCTTCTGTATCTCCGTTCAATCCATTGGCCCCATTCATTCCACCAGAAGCTCCATTCAACAGTAGCTTTTCCCCAATGTTGCTAGAGAAGGTTCCGTTTTGAGGGCTTGGTTCGCCAGATTCTTCGGGAACAGGCAGAGTGGAAGCCGGTCTTACTTCTATTGCAGAGATTTGGCCCCCACTCCCATCAAATGTGCGCTTGACTAATCCAGTATTTAGATCCCAATCCAGAACCTTTTTGTCCCAACTTCCTGATAAGACAGATCTCTCATCGCGAGCAAGACTAAGAACCGAGACAGCAGATGTATGTTTTTGGAGAGTGGCTATTTTCTTCCCTTCATCGTGTCGCACCGATTGTAAGTTTATACTTCCAGATTCAAGTCCAGATAACATCCAAAGAGCCTCAGATTGTACTGCCAATGAATAGACGGGGGATAATGGATTCTCCTCCCCGCCAGGGCCTCTACTTGATTCCTCGTTATCCCAATAGCTCATAAGAACGCCAGCTTTAACTACACTATCAACAAATGGATGCCGTTGAGCAACTGTCAGCAATGTTTTACCATTAACTGTGTCAACTCCATTATATTTCCTTATGAAACAATCCGAGCCTCCACTGAACCAGTACCTCATATCAGGTGTTGCCGTAATCGCATTGATCGAGGTACTCTGAGGAGCAGCTATTGTTGGTACAATGTCATAAGTGGAAGCAGTTAATGCTTCGGGCCTAACTTCATATCTGAATCTTGGGGATAACGATGAAGCAGAATTGTGTTGTGGCGAGGCTGAAGTCCTTATTAAGGTCGGATGAGGTTGTGAGGTGGGACCCACGCCATTCATTTGAGTGTCGTTTGAGTTCGAAGTGTCTAGGTCTCCTCTGTTCTGCGAAGGGGAAAAGTCGTCTTCTCCTTCTCCATCACCATCACCGTCACCATCATCTTGGTCATCCTCTCCATTGTCGTCATCATTGTCGTCGTCGTCTACTTCTTCATCTCCGTCTCCATCAGCATCCCCATCTCCGTCCCCGTCCCCGTCTCCATCCCCGTCACCATCTAGTTCTGGGTCTAGGTCATCTGCATCTTCCATCATGTCATCTTGTTCATTGTCGGAGCTCGCGTTCGATCCTAGCAAAGCTCAAGTTAGTACTCAATAACGATAGAGTTTATGCTGCATTTACCGACCGTCATCAATGTCTAACGTGAAATCCACCATCTTGAACACCTACAGACCCCTCCTCCACAACACAATCCTCCGGGTTGGGTCAGCAATGAATTCGCGTCAATGCAAGCTATTCAGCTTGAATTCGATTGTAGGGCGACGCGGGGCGCACAAGGATATTCTGAGTAAATACTCGGGAATGAATTCGGAACTACTTTAAATTTGTACAAATAAAGTACGTCACAGATTCTCCAGACAGTAGAAACAATTCAAGCTCATTCAAACCACAACGATTGAAGGGCTTTTTGTACAATTGAAGAATTGGTAAGTTATATTGTGATGATACAAATATAATTGGCCTTTGAATCATGAATGCGAAGACAGGATCTTGATAGCTAGTCATGCTAGCGGCCGCATCAATAAGGTTATGCATCACGTGGGAGGCTGAGAACCTCACTGCATCAACGTTGGAAACATCTAAAACTTCTAAAAACTTCTTTCATGACATCAAGACCGTCCGCTATACAGCGTGGTAGATTAGATTAGATTTGAGGGAACTATTGGGGCACTATTGACTCGAAATACTCATCTTGAAGAACGTGATTACCCTGTAGAATTGAATCCAATTCTATCCTACAGATCTCGAATCCTCAAATGCATTCCAATGATCATGGTTCGAATCAATGCTTGCCTAGAAACGCCCCAGGAAACAATGAGATATCTGGAATCTAATGCAGGAGATGGGTTATACATCAAGGTTTTGACCAGGATTGGATGAGGTGTCATAAGGCTTTCAGCCATACCACAGGTAGTGTGTCATATATTTAGGTAGGCATGATCCAAATCAGTTTATAGTCGGCCCAGCTATGTAGCTACTTAGGTACTCTTTGGAAGTCTCTATCTCCAAGGTAGATAGATGATTGCGTGTATCTTTAGCATCTAACCTCTCCACAAACTAAACACACACGACTTTTTACGACGGGTGAGTAGAAGACATTGCCCAGACCTAGGTACCTTCTAGTACTAGGAAATGGGCTACCAGGTACCTCAATCTCTGTTTGCTTTCAAAATTCAATCATCAATAAAAACAAAGTCTTAATATATGGAATATGCAATATGCAATATGCAAACTGCAAGCTACCGAGCCGATCCAAGGCTTGCAAACGAGTGGAAGTGTGTACGCTCAAGAAACTTCTCAGAAGTCCATACTAGATATCCACCCTTTTTCTTTTTACCTTTCTCTTCTCTTCATCTCTTCATTCATTACCTAGGTAGGTATCACTTGGAGAGTTCATTAAATAGGTGTCAAAGGAAATTCTAAAGCTGCCCACCTCATTCCGATTCTCGCTTGCAAATTTGGATTGTTTTGGGAAGGCTCGACAAAGTGAATTCTACCAAATTTTCCTCTAGGTATTTTGGGAGTTCCGATCTCACTCTCTAAACCTTCAAATCACTTGCATAACAAAATATTGCATTGAGATCAACTGAGAAGAATTGATATCAACTCCTGGTGAGATCAACTGCGCGTTTCATGAATGACCGTTTGCGACCAATACAGGATCTTCAGCGCGCCATATAACATACTTGTTGACAACGAC